CTCCGGTCCAAAAGTAGGGTATCGTTGAAGTCGTCTCGGTCCCCTCAGTTCAGATAGATACTCAAAGTCCCGAAATTCCATAGGTGGTTATCTATATAATAATTTCCCTAATTGTATTAATATTTTAAATCGTTTGATTTTTTGTATGTTTTTTAATTGGTTGATGATTGATTCTATCAACTAATTTGTCGATTGTTTGTATTAACTTGATTCTTTAGATATCGAAAATTAAATAAAGAACATTATGTTAATTTAAGCGTACAGAAACGTTGCTGTTGTTTCAGCAAAGATCTTATTTTCACTTTACCGAGTGCCTAGTAGGTAATTTGCAGATTATCTAGAATTTTAAACTTTCTCAAATTACCTAGGTAATTTGAGAAATAGAACAATTTTAGCAACTTTAACGGATCACGCTAGTTAATCTGCAGATTAGCGAGTTTCCGAGCTTTAGCGGTAACATCCACACCAAGAGTAAAAATAATGTCATTGGCCTCGCTGCCATAAATTCTTGGTATTCCGTAAGCTAACAGTTCGCATTCAGTCAAAATATATTGAATTAATTAAAAACCAGCAAGTTGCTTAACTTTCCCAGCAACATTTGAAACCGTGTGTGGCGCCATCTGTTATGATATTTTATTATTAAAAACTTTTTAACTATTATAAAATGGCAAAAAACATACTTTTGAGGCTAGGGATGGGTTTTATAAAAAATTATAAATGCTAATAACGAGTAAAATCGTCATTGTAAGTTATCGTTTTCTACTTTAATGTTATAAATTTACTAATTTTTCAAAAATAATTATTAGTAGATTTTAATCATAAAATAAATTTCCACATAATAATAATATCAATTAATACTGTTAGAAAAGTTTAAAATAAATTTAATTTTATGTTAAATTCCAAAGCAGAACTACTAAATTTTCATTTAAATTTAAATTTAATCGTAATTCGTTTATGTAAGTTATGATCGAAGATGATGCCATTGAATAGAATTAATCTTGTGAATTTTCTTTTTTATTAAATATATATTTTTTCAACTTGTGTACGTAGGTGAGTAGCGAGTATTTATTAACTTATTAACAATCATATAATTATTTTCGTAAGTTATAACAAATTTGAAAGTCGAGAAACATAATCAAATTTGCATAAAATCCAGCGAAAAATCTAAAATAATACACACTTCGACTTTCATATGTAATATTTATATATCAAAGTACAGGGTAATCATACTATAATTAAAGAGTAGGTACCGAGAACGCGGTTTTATTTTTCGGAAACAAATTTTATTTTAAAATTTAGCCGCCGAGACGAAAATTGGCGCTGTTGTCCCTTTAATGTGAATATTGCGTACATTTTTTNTTTCTTTTTAAACTGAATGCAATTTTCATACTTTTTTAATGGATTTATAATAAACTAGCAGACCCCGCCACACGTTGTTGAGGCTCAAAATGTATCTATTATAAATTTATAACACTTTCCCCGGGGGGGAGAATTTTTTGAAAAATCCCTTCTTAGTGTACATTCTCTTGACATACTCTATTAAAACGCAATCAAAAACACAAAAAAAACTGCATCTAAAATAGTATAATAGAAGCCAAGTTCTTCACAGTAAGCCTTAATCCTGTCTCTCTCCCCTGTGGGGGGAATTTTGACATGTATATTATATAAAAACACGTGTGTATTCGAATGCAGCGTTGTGTGAAAATTTCAAAGGAATCGGTAGGAACAAACGAACATTACATTTTTATTTATATAGATAGATAAAAGATGATCTGCTNTTTTGCGAATTTTAGTCCTGTTTTGCACTGGCGCACAGTTTTGTGAAGGTCCTGAAATTGAATGCTTCTTTTTAGAGGTAGATGGCTGGGTCACAGTTGCTTCGGTAATATTTGGCCGTTTTGGAGGTGAAATGGAGTGTGCTATTATAGCTTCAGGAGAAGATGACCTTGCTTGATTATCTTCATCAGAACAATTTTCTTCAGCATCACTATTTTTGTCTGTATGGTTAGCTGGAACATTGCCAATAGTGGGTCTTTCCTTGAAATACGGCAACAGAAAAGACATCTCGTCTTCATATTTCCATTTTTTCCTAGATACACTAGCTTGTCCACTTTTAGTTTCTTTTCGCTTTTTTATGGCACGTCGGAATGCATCGCGTAGTAAAGCCCATGTTTTCTTGCAGTCGCAATCTGAAACAAAAATTTACTTGTTTAATTTTATTGCAGATTTTTGGCAACCGGAGACTCCTACCTATCTATAGCGTACAGTTATCGACTTGGTGTGAGCACTGTGCATAATATAATTGTAGAAGTATGTACTGCTATCATAAAAGAAATGACAGAAGAATGCATGCCAACACCTACCAAAAAAAAATGGTTAAAGATATCAGAGGAATTTTGGCACGTATGGAACTTTCCCAATTGCCTTGGTGCCATCGATGGCAAACACGTCGTCATAACGGCTCCAGCTAACAGTGGATCTCTTTATTTTAACTATAAAAAAACTTTTTCAATTGTACTGATGGCAATCGTTGATGCCAATTATAAATTTATATGTGTGGATATAGGTGCGTATGGCAAAAATAGTGACGGGGGAATATTCTCTAATTCAATCATCGGAAAAGCTTTACCGGCAGANCAGATTTTCTAAAAAGTTTCCTAATTAAAACTTTTTGAATTTTATCGAAATTGCATTAAAAAGTTTTTATCTGTTCAATTTGGCTTCCCAAGATTAGATCCTGAGTGTGCCACTGTTCGATTACAATATGTTGGAAATAATAAGTATGATTAAAGGTACATCCTACATAATATACATGTTAAATCAATAGAACAAAATAACAAACACAATAAAATACATTCAAATAAGCCAAGTACCGTATATCTACACAAAACCTGAAATCTCACGAATCTCTGAGAAGCTTATATTGTGAAATATGTAAGATTCCTGACATGAAATATTGATAGCTAAATTAGAATATCATGACAAATATATCAAAATAAGAAGTATTTTTGAATTGCAAAAATAAGAAAGATATTTTTGAATATTTGGTGTATAACAATTTACTGCAGTACAAAAATAGACATTAATTCCAAAGTAAATAAACTTTAGTAAAACTTGCAAAGAACTTGGACCCGTAAAAATGTGATTTAAAACTAATTAATGGTTGAGTGAAAAAAATTTTGATAAATGGAAAACTGAAATTCAATATTGAAATTATGTTTTGTAAAATGAATATTAGGTTTTGGTATCTAAAGTATCTTTCTCCAATAGAATTTTGGAGCCATCTAATGTGTAATCTGAATTTCTATGGAAAATGTTTTCTTTAAAAGTAATTATGTTTATAAATTATTTTGTCTCTTATTTTTCATATTCTTTCATATATAATTATTTCATATTCTGTTATAGTTTTTCTTTTAGCTGGTTTGTAAAGTTATCATCTCATCTAGATGATGATAGTTATATATGAATATATTCTGTTATGACATCTTTTTGGTCATACTGTCTGTAGTATGCCATATGGATTAAATGAATAAAGAAATTAAAATTAATAAATGATTTAAAGTTGTTTTTGTCTAAAGAATGGATAATTGACAGCATTTGTTTTTTATTTGTCATCTTCCAAATGAATTTATTCTAAATAGTAAAACTACATATGTAACTAATGTATTAGTAACACATTAGTTTTATAGTTTACCTGGATTCAGTTTTCATTTAACTAATTGAAATCTTTTTAGTTATGTAACTGCATATAAAAAATTCGCTGATTTTCTAAAAACATTTTCCATTAATTGTTGGATCTTTCAAAAGCAATAGATTTCAGGAAATTGTGAATATGTAAGTATGATAAATAATCTCGTATAGGATCAAATATGCGACAAGCCTGGGATCGGAAGAGGTCTGGTTTTCTGAACGCAGGCTAAAAATAATCGATAAAAAATGAAAAAAAAATTTGATACTCCGTAAGCTACTTAAAACAGTTCTTATTTTATCAGTTTTGATACTTGAACTGGCGTAAAGCGACGCTTACGCTATGCAAAATCTACTAGGCACTCGGTAAAGTGAAAATAAGATCTTTGCCACAAATAAATGTGCCACAAAATAGGTGTGCTTGTCGCAGAAACCAATTGCTATGAAATTCAAAAAGTGTCACCAATCTTTAGACTGCACAATTGGATAATGTTACCTATGGTGGGTAAAATGGCGGCTTGTCTCTGATTTCAGCAAAGAGAAGAAAGGAAACAGTGGGGACGCACGTTCAAACCTAACCTAACCTATTCTAATAATTTGGTTGGTAATTTATTAAAATAGGTTAGGCTAGGACAGAACGTGCGTTCCCACTGTTTCCTTTCTTCTGTTTGCTGGAATCAGAGACGAGCCGCCATTTTACTCACCATAGGTAACATTAACTGCACAATTACATCATGCGATAACCAGAAAAAGTATGATAACTTTATTATTTTTCGTCTCCGGTCCAAAAGTAGGGTATCGTTGAAGTCGTCTCGGTCCCCTCAGTTCAGATAGATACTCAAAGTCCCGAAATTCCATAGGTGGTTATCTATATAATAATTTCCCTAATTGTATTAATATTTTAAATCGTTTGATTTTTTGTATGTTTTTTAATTGGTNCACAACTTTATAAAATATAACAACGCCCATGCCAGAGAAAATACAGCAGTTAGTAATTTGAAAGGCTTACCAAGACAAGGCGGAAGTAGTCAATCTACCGCTTTTGATGTCAGAAACAAACTTGCTCTGTTTTTTGATTCACCTGCAGGAGCAATGTAAACAATAATAATGTTTTTTCTTAAATACATTTCTATTTACCTCTTACTTGAAGTTTTTTTGCTATTTCTTTCCACGCGTCATCTTTTCGTTGATTGTCACTGTACCTGCGATCACTTAAATCATAAAGAAATGTATATTCCCGAACTAATTCAATTAATTTCTCTTGATTCATCATTTTAAACAAGCAATGTCTGTGCATGTCGACGATGGCGTTCATACTAACCGCGCCGACTCCCACAGACATGTACAGACACGCGCCGGCACAGACAAAACATTGTCGCAGACAATGCCGGCCGGTGCCGGCCCGTGTCTGTGCGGACACGATCCGCTCACGCGCGGTATATGTAAATACGCCCATAGAAAATGTATGTAATAATATTTTTATGTCTGTGCTGTTACGTGTCTGCCACGTACGGTGTCTGTAGATATGAATGAAGCTTTAAGGCTTGAATAGAATCGCGAAACGTTTACAACCCGACAGATGAACGGTTAAATTGCTCATTTAACTCAAACAGCGATGCCAATTCAGCGCTTAAAAAGATCTGGCTATTGACAGTCTTAGAGAGACGATTTTGGGTTTTGAGGAATAGAGGTAAGTACAGAAGTTTCGGATCGGAACCGCTTTTGACTCGGAACTAACAACGCATTTTTCATTTTGTACTTTTATGAATACAGCTTTTCACGGAACAGTGAATTGTCTGGATTTAAACTTTAGCTGGATGAAAATGTTCCACGAGTTTTTAAGAATAATGAAATTAGTTTTGAGTATTTTAAATTTATAAAGATAATTTAAAACTTGATTTTTATTAGAATTCGTAATTATTTGTTTTTTATAATTAGCAGATATATTCGACATTGCCCGGCCAAAAGTAAGAAGGATAAACGTTAAAATGAAAACCATATTACGAATTTGATTATAATTAGCCTATCATTATTATGTTTTTTGCGAAATGTTGAGGGGGATCAAATCGGGAGAAGAGCGGGTCTCTATTTTCTTCAGAGTTTCAGAGTCCGAGTTAAGTAAGAATAATTAGGAGCAGGTCGACTAAAAGCTAAGAACAGAGATGTTTGTTTGTTAAGTTATGGCAACGCAACACTTTGTGCGATCTGCCTAGTGGGATGCCTTTTGGGAGTTTTTTCAAGGGAAACTGGCCCCTATTTAGGCGTTACAGACGTGGAGAAAACCCAGTAAAACTTCACGTGGCCAGCCCGTCCGAGCGCGATGCGAACCCACGACCGAACTCCTAGCGTTCAGGGTACGAAGGCTCGGAGTTTGGTCGTGGGTTCTGGTGGGTGCGCTAAGAACAGATAGAGAGAAAGATTCTATTATATATGTATAAAACCGACGAGGGACCTTCTAGTCCAGTGGTCTGAAACTTAAACGCAGCAAAGGGCCAGTTAAATAGATATATATCAGACGTGGGCCGTATTTATTATTAATTGGTAAACCAAACCATACTGTAAACTTAAAAAATGGTTCTACCAAAGGTCCTTTTGATGCTAGGCCTTTATGACCTACGTAAACAGTTAAAGTTTGAATTTTTTCTGTTTTAATCCCCGTAGGACGTTAGAAACGTTAGTTTTTAGAAAAGAAATCATTAACGCCGTGGCTGGATCTGAAGCCTTAGTGTAAATGCTTTTACTACTAGTCGGTCCGATTATAAAATCGGTCGGGTCGGTCCAGTCGTCATAGTGTGAAACAGCCCTTAATGAGCCATAACCGGCCATCGGGCTGCCAGTTTGCGACACCTGGTCTAGTCCAACAGACTAAGCAATTCTGACAGAATGTAATGCTTCCGAGGAACCGTCTAGTCTAACTATTCGATAGAACCATCTACAGTAGTTCAATTATACGGCCAGATAGCCGAGCGGTCAAGGTGAAAGCCTACCGCTCTGGGGGACCCTGGATTCGAATCCGGACGAGTCAAATAATCCCCTGAAATTTTCAAGGTTGGTCTATTCGGATATGTTAGGCCCCGTCCCTCACCACCCGGCCTCCCCATTGTGGACCTTGCCGAACCCATAATGGGCTTGCAAAAAAAAGGCCCGCTTAGTGCCCACAGGGCGGAAAGAGTTAAAAAAAAAAAATAGTAGTTCAACTGTTCTGAGAAACCGTTCCGTTGGATCAGTTGTAGTTCCAGAAATAGAACTGGATTTTCTACCTCTGTTGAGGAGACTGGAACTTTTAAGATTAAATCAGAACGTGGTCGTAAACTGAACATTTGAAAACGAAAGACGTTGCTATTGCAGTAGTGAAGCACGGAATGCAAAACTCTCTTGGCAGCAATAGTGCAGGTGCGATAATGCAGCAATTAAAAATCTCCTTGTCATTGTGGAAAGTTCGTGGATATTTTTCGCAGAACTTTTTTACCAAGTTATGTCTATACAGGATATCCCACAGTCATGAATTGGTATCTAATGATAATGATAATAAACGAAAAATATTTGTCATGACACATAGTTCGGATGACGGCTAATGTTGCATGGTCCTGGTAAATTCTGTGGAGCAATAAGGCTCATTTTCATTTGCATAGTGATGTGAGTAGTCACGACTACCGTATCTGGTCTGAGGAAAATCCACATGTTTACAAACAAATTTCATTGCACTTATGAAAGATAACGATGTGATTTGGTTTCACAGCACGTTTTATTATATTATTGGTCTTTATTTTTAAAGTAAATTCTGCATTTGAGCTAGTAACATATTCAGTTAATGCCGCTAAATACAGAGAGATGCTTTAAAACTTCATTTCAGCACCGCAGCAGAGAAATTGATTGAACACCACAATCTTTAAAGAAAGACAGTACACCCAATGTGCCGGATAGCATAAATATGCAAGACTTAAGCCTCGACCACACAGCTGCTATGTAGGATACGATGCAATGGTTGAACAATTGGACATGTCGATCCGTTGAAACATATTTTCGGAGAATATTCACATGCGCAAAAAATAAAATAAAATAAAATAAAAATGCATTATTGTATCTTTACCAAGTTCCGTTGCCAAATGGAGTTTCGGACTTCCGTAAATATGCCGGAATCTTTCTTAGAAGAAATTTAGAAATATCAGTGTTTATTAATTGAAATAACATAGGTTAAAACATGTTTTTTCAACGAATACTAAAATTTTAATTTAAAAAAAGAGAGAAAACTATTAGGTATATGAATCTACCTAATACCTAAACATGTAACGGCATTGAGAGAGAAGATAAAATTTGAAATTAGAAACGTAACTTTGAAAATTAGATGTTCTATGGTTAATGATGAAAGATCTTACTATAATTATTAATCAATTTCCAAGATTGTCAAAATTACTGTTATCTGGAGGGAATTGCATACATTAATTTACCAATAATTAATTATCTAATTTGTAATTAATTTTAATTACAAATTTNTTAAAAGTAATTATGTTTATAAATTATTTTGTCTCTTATTTTTCATATTCTTTCATATATAATTATTTCATATTCTGTTATAGTTTTTCTTTTAGCTGGTTTGTAAAGTTATCATCTCATCTAGATGATGATAGTTATATATGAATATATTCTGTTATGACATCTTTTTGGTCATACTGTCTGTAGTATGCCATATGGATTAAATGAATAAAGAAATTAAAATTAATAAATGATTTAAAGTTGTTTTTGTCTAAAGAATGGATAATTGACAGCATTTGTTTTTTATTTGTCATCTTCCAAATGAATTTATTCTAAATTGTAAAACTACATATGTAACTAATGTATTAGTAACACATTAGTTTTATAGTTTACCTGGATTCAGTTTTCATTTAACTAATTGAAATCTTTTTAGTTATGTAACTGCATATAAAAAATTCGCTGATTTTCTAAAAACATTTTCCATTAATTGTTGGATCTTTCAAAAGCAATAGATTTCAGGAAATTGTGAATATGTAAGTATGATAAATAATCTCGTATAGGATCAAATATGCGACAAGCCTGGGATCGGAAGAGGTCTGGTTTTCTGAACGCAGGCTAAAAATAATCGATAAAAAATGAAAAAAAAATTTGATACTCCGTAAGCTACTTAAAACAGTTCTTATTTTATCAGTTTTGATACTTGAACTGGCGTAAAGCGACGCTTACGCTATGCAAAATCTACTAGGCACTCGGTAAAGTGAAAATAAGATCTTTGCCACAAATAAATGTGCCACAAAATAGGTGTGCTTGTCGCAGAAACCAATTGCTATGAAATTCAAAAAGTGTCACCAATCTTTAGACTGCACAATTGGATAATGTTACCTATGGTGGGTAAAATGGCGGCTTGTCTCTGATTTCAGCAAAGAGAAGAAAGGAAACAGTGGGGACGCACGTTCAAACCTAACCTAACCTATTCTAATAATTTGGTTGGTAATTTATTAAAATAGGTTAGGCTAGGACAGAACGTGCGTTCCCACTGTTTCCTTTCTTCTGTTTGCTGGAATCAGAGACGAGCCGCCATTTTACTCACCATAGGTAACATTAACTGCACAATTACATCATGCGATAACCAGAAAAAGTATGATAACTTTATTATTTTTCGTCTCCGGTCCAAAAGTAGGGTATCGTTGAAGTCGTCTCGGTCCCCTCAGTTCAGATAGATACTCAAAGTCCCGAAATTCCATAGGTGGTTATCTATATAATAATTTCCCTAATTGTATTAATATTTTAAATCGTTTGATTTTTTGTATGTTTTTTAATTGGTTGATGATTGATTCTATCAACTAATTTGTCGATTGTTTGATTGTATTAACTTGATTCTTTAGATATCGAAAATTAAATAAAGA